TTGTTGAATGTTGTTGTTTTCATCAGAGAAATGTTGGGAGGGTATGATAAACAACACAGCCGAGAATGAATTGCTGCATCCACTGCCAAACAACCGGGACCCAGTGGGATTTTTCCAAGCTGGAAAATGTCTTCCTCGCTTCCCCACTTGCCGGTTTCGCCTTCCCTATCAAAGCCGGGAGAGGGGAGGGCGGCCCCTCCAGAATTCCTTCATTGCCCTTTTTGTTGACCTCTTGTCCCCCTGCCCTCTCTCAGTTCCCATCAAGGAAATGGCGGCTGGTTGCCTGGTGGTGCTTAGCCAAGCCAATCGGAGAAAGGCCACTGCTGGGCTTTTCATCCTTTGTGGAGCAGCATCGCCATCCGACAGGGAGGCTCGCTGCGAGCTGTATAATGAGTGAACTTTAAAGGCAACCTTGTCCAGAGCGGACAACCCCTGTCAGTTAAAAGGGGGCTGCTTAACCAAGCCGCCTTCTCGGAGAGGAGCCGAGTTCGCAAGACGCGACAACTCCAAATTAGTGGCTTTGGAGGAAAGCAGAGACCACCACTCTCTGCCGCGCTCCCCCCCGGGGTCAAGAAGAAAGAGCTGTGGAAAGAGGCGGCTGCGAAAAGCAAGGAGACATAAAAGACGAGGAGGAGAAGCAAACACTCGGCTGCCATATCAACATTTCACAGGGACAAATCTTCTAAGAAGAGATGCTGGGGATTTCAAGGTCTGCAAATGTAGAGACCAGCTAACCTAACCCAACCCAACCCAACCACTTCTGTCCAGATAAGAACTTCACTCTGCACTGGATTTTGCCTTTCCCAAAGGTTATGTCTCTTAGCAATTTATAAACACTTCCAAAATACAGTGGTACCTCGAGTTACAAACACCTCGGGTTACAGACTCCGCTAACCCGGAAGTAGTACCTCAGGTTAAGAACTTTACCTCAGGATGAAATCAGAAATTGTACGCCAACGACGCGGCAGAAACGGGAGGCCCCATTAGCTAAAGTGGTACCTCAGGTTAAGAACGGTTTCAGGTTAAGAATGGACCTCTGGAACGAATTAAGTTCATAACCAAAGGTACCACTGTATATTTTAAAAGGTGTGTTTGAGAGGGAAATATAACAACTTATCACAGTGAGGGATCTGCCAGAAGGCCCTTGGAGGTGAACTTCAGTGTACGGGCTGGACGATGGTGGTGGAGATGCTCCTTCGGGTATTCAGGGCCAAGGCCATTTAGGCCATATGTTTAAAAATACAGTGCGAATGATAGTGTAAAATTGGGACAGGGTGGACTTGGCGGATGATTGCATAGGAAAGTGATATCGACTGGAAGCAGACCAGCCTTAAATTTGTTTTATCCCATCTTTTTTACCAAGGAGCTCCAGGTAGCAGACATGGTTCTCCCTCACTGGCGGAGAAAGGGGGGTGCGGTGGATGCGATCCCTCATCCCAGAGGGGCAGTTTGAGATCGCTGCCTTGAACCCCTGGGACACTTGCCGCGGGCAGCAGCCCCCTGAAATGCTCACTATTTGCCACAGGTGGCCAGCCCCCCCCATGGGTGCACAGCATTACGCCGCTCCAGGTACTGGAGCAGCTGTCTCCGCCTCTGTTCTTCCTGACCTCATTTAATCCTCGCAACAACCCTGTGAGGTTGGTTAGGCTGAAAGGAAGTGACTGGCTTCCATGGTCACCCAGTGAGCTTTGTAGCCGAGTGAGGGATTTGAACCCAGGTCTCCTGGGTCCTAGTCTGACGCTATAACCACTACACCACACTGACCTTTCCCAACCTGGCTGAGGCCGATGGAGATTGTAGTTCAAAACATCTGGAAGGCATTGAGGAAGGTTGGGAAAGACTGGTTTGTCTAGATGTGTTCTTAAAGGTAAAGGTAAAGGGACCCCTGACCATGAAGTCCAGTCGTGGACGACTCTGGGGTTGGGGTGCTCATCTCGCTTTATTGGCCGAGGGAGTCGGCGTACAGCTTCCGGGTCATGTGGCCAGCAGGACTAAGCCGCTTCTGGCGAACCAGAGCAGCGCACGGAAACGCCGTTTACCTTCCCGCTGGAGTGGTACCTATTTATCCACTTGTACTGGTGTTCTTTAACACCCTCCAATTCTCCAAGCTCGTCTCCATGACATGGCTAAAGACTCTTCGTTGTGTGGCTCTGTGCTGGGGTGTCCCATCATCCAGGACGGTTCTGACTGGGGCTGATGGGAGCTGGAGTCCCAACGGCACCGGGAAGCAGCATATCGAGCCTGTTATCTGGTTATATCCAAGGCATGCAGGAACTAGGTGGTCTCCATGGCTCCCTTGCTAGGTTTACCATTTTGAACTTCGAAAAATAAATAATTTCCCCTTATATTTATTCTCTCTCCTATCCCATCTAAAAGCCTGACCCCCAGCAGAAGGAGTTGCACCAAACCAAAGCTCTCCTAAGGGTCTTTGCTGTCTGGTCTTAGTTGAATACACAGATTGGCAGAATCTCACAGGTGACGGTTGGTGGTAGAAGTAGACAAGCAGTAGACTGCCGTAGGAAATCTCTTACCCAGTTTTGATTTCTGCCAGCTCTGGTTGTACGCCTCTTTCTCCCGTGTTTTTGTTGGTTAATGGCTTTAGCATATTTCTGTTTCGAAATTTGTCTGGTTCTTGCTGTGCGTCTGTTCTTCCCATGTTTTCCGTCGTTGGCCTTAACCCAAGAATGTCTTTTGGGCATGCTCTTTCGCTTGCAGGGGAATGCATCATAGGACTTGTAGTCTTAACTGAGCACAGCCATTCTTGTTACACTTTCTTGCTGGCTGTCACCCTGCATCGTGGCTTTTGCAGTACTAAAGCTGCACAAACACCAGTTTTAATTTCTTCTGGTTCTGGTTGTAAGTCTGTTTCTCCGTTTTTTTTCTCAACTGATGACTTTAGCAGATTTCTGTTTTAAAATTCTGTGTGTCTGGTTCTCCTTGCTTTCAGTTACTTGTCTTAATGCCCTGAATGTTTTTTGTCCGTGTTCTTTAACTTTCAGGACAATGCCTCATAGGATTTGCGGTATAACTAAGCACAGTCATTCTTCTCATGCTTTATCACTGACTGTCACACTGCATCATGGGTTCTGCCATATTAAAACTGTGCAGTCAATAAGTCCTGCTGGTTCTGGTTGTTCCTCCGTTCCTTCTGTGTTTTCTCAGTTGCTGGCTTTAGCAGATTTCTGTTTTGAAATCCGGCCAGGTCCTGCTGTCTGCCTCATTCATAGGTAGCATCCCACGCAGAGGTCCTTCCTGCTACCTTCTGCTTGAACCTTGAACCTGGAAGTGTCAAGATTTGAACTCAGAACCTTCTGCCTGCAAGGTGCTCCGCCACTGAGCTACAGTCCTCTCTCTCCCTGATTCATTTATTCTGTGATAGGCTCCCCTTCAGCAATTTCACATCCAGGACGACGAAAGTTCTTTGGGTTAAAAGTATGTTTGAAAATCGTAATTGGCCTGTGATGTGTTGCCAGCAGTTCAGAATTCACCTTGGCAGCTGCAGGAGGATTTGCAATGGCAGGCTGCGTACTGAACTGCTCCCTCATGTTCGTGCGCATGCATTTAGCAATGTGCGTGCTAGGGAGAGAAGATGCATCCCTTCCCCCCATGGAAATTTAACTTCCCTGGAGTAGAATCTGGACAATGCTAAACAACTCTCCCGAACAACTCATACATCCCCTAAAAGGAAGGAAGAAAACAGAAACATGGGCCATGATTTACCAGGCTGAGGAACCAGAAAGCCAGGAATTCCTTGCAAATGGAAACAGGCAGAGGTCATGTGGCAACTCCTGCAACAAGAGAAAATGGGGTGTGAGTTTGACCCCTAAGTGCATAGTTAAACTGTGGAACTCCCTGCCACAGGAGAAAGGGATGGCCACCCACTTGGATGGCTTTAAAAGAGGATTAGACAGATTCATGGAGGAGAGGGCTATCGATGGCTATCAGCCACAGGAAGGGAGAGCACTCTCGTCTTCCAGCGAAGAAAGCTGATGATCCTCTTGAAGCCTTGTTCTTGCTGTGAGATGGGAAGGGTTATTGTTTCGTATGGTATTATAATTCATAGGTGATTCATAGAATTGTAGAGTTGGAAGGGACCCTGAGGATTATCTATTCCAAACACACACATGTGCACAAAGCAGGACTGCGGGACCACCTCTTCTGGTATGCACCAGGGAGGACCTTAAGGTCCACAAAAGCAACACTGAAATATACTCAACTCAGTACATAACAAACACCCTAGATGTCCTGGGCTTGAAGGAAGTTAGATTAGCCTCAGCCAGAGCCAGGGCCTTCTCAACACTGGCCCCGGCCTGGTGGAACGCTCTGTCTCATGAGACCAGGGCCCTGCAGGATCTGATTTCTTTCCGCAGGGCCTGTAAGACAGAGTTGTTCCGCCTGGCCTTTGGCTTGGAATCAACTTGATCCCCTTCCCCTTTTTCTTTTTTCCTTTCTCCTCCTGTGATGGAACTCCTATTTGGGGACTTCCCTGGCTTTTTTCTGGCCCATGTAGGACCAGTCTGAATAGTTAGCCTTGGTGAAGACTTGACGTTTTCATCCCCCAAAAAATGTTTTTGATTTGAGTTTCCATTGAAATGAGGCTGCATTTTAATGTTTTAATGTTGTATTTTAATCTTGTTTTTAAGTTGTATTTCAATCAATTTGTTTGTACAGTGGTACCTCAGGTTAAGTACTTAATTCGTTCCGGCGGTCCGTTCTTAACCTGAAACTGTTCTTAACCTGAAGCACCACTTTAGCTAATGGGGCCTCCCACTGCCGCTGCGCCGCCAGAGCACGATTTCTGTTCTCATCCTGAAGCAAAGTTCTTAACCTGAGGTACTATTTCTGGATTAGTGGAGTCTGTAACCTGAAGCGTATGTAACCCGAGGTACCACTGTATATCGGTTGTTAGCTACCCTGAGCCCAGTCTTGGCTGGGGAGGGCGAGGTATAAATAAAATTTATTATTATTATTATTATTATTATTATTATTATTATATGCAGCTCCCCCGTATGGGGTTCAAACCTGCGACCTTGGTGTTCTCAGCCCCACGCTCCAACCAACTGAGCCACGGTGGGTATTGTGTTAATGTATTTTTATGCTGTAAACCGCCCTGTGACCCTTGGAGGAAGGCTGGTCTATAAATTTGATATAAACCAATAAATGGTGAGATTACAGGCAGCTGCCATGATTAAATTCCGCTCATTTTATTTGTACATGGATGGTTGTTTCAAGCTGTTCTAGGTACACCCCTTAGGTATTACTTGATAAAGCTGTCTATAAATTCTTCTAAAATATAAAATAAATATCCGGTCAGACCATTGGTCCATCTTCCTCAGGGTTGTCGGCGCTAAGGATGGGTTTGGAAAAGGGATTTGAAACCAGAAAGTGGTCGGTTGTCCCCAAGATTGCTATGGGATGTTCATACATATTCCAACTGCTGAGAGGGGAAGTTGCCCATCAGCACTGCCATTGCGAAGGGAAGTGGAGGATAATGTGAGAGGAAAGGGGAAGGGTAGTATTTCAGTGGTGAAACATCAGCTTTGCTTGCAGAAGGTTGCAGGTTCAAGCCCTGGCATTTCCAGGAAGGACTGTGGGAGTCCCCCTGTCTGAATCTCTGGAGACCCACTGTCATCAATCTATACAAATACTGACCTAGATGGAACAATGGTCAACCTTTGTATAAGGCAGCTTCCTTCCAAAGTTCCTATGTTTGGGGTGATGAAAGCAAAAATGTTGAAGAAAATGAAACCTAGACATTTTGTGGGATGTTTTGTGAAACACCCTGATTTCGTTCATTGTCATAGGTGTGAATGTTCTATTGATCAATCCTCTCTGCTGCAGGCAATGATTTTGCATTTCGAAGTTTGTTTGCAGGGTATGTCTGTGAGTGTGGATCTCACATAGCAGAAAACAGAGTGCAATTTGTTCCCCCAAGTGTAAGGGAAAGCTGAGAAACACACTATATGGGCACCAGTGTTTAAAGAAACAGAGATCAATTGGGAAAGACCTGGGGGAATGGAACGGCTTGCAATCTGTTGTGTTTTTTGCGCTCCGGATAGTTTTAAGTTTGTTCTGTTTTCCCTCTCACCAAGGAAGAATGCGGACCAGACACCATGGGAGAATTTAGATGCAAACAGCATCTAGAATTGGCAGTGTGGGTATTTGCGAAGGCAAGGCAGAGGAGAGCAGAGGAGAGCTGTTTATGAGCTCTTAAGAAAGGCTTCCTTCAAATTTAAGCTTTCTTTGGAGCGGCACAATGCAGATTCACACAGGCATGTTCAGAACTCAACATCATGTTATGACTTGCATGTGTGGATGAGCAATCCCACTCAAACCCCATGGAGATCTTTCAAATGGCATTATCATCTCATCAGGGAGCACAGTTCAGTTATACCTCATAGCAGCAAGTCGCCTAGCAATGGCTTTCCGGGGTTTTAGGTAGAAAACAGGCCTTCCCACCATCTGTTAACTGATCCTCCTAATTGGATATTCTGGGGGTTGATCCTGAGACCTTTTGCATGCAGAACACGTGCTCTGCTATCAAGCTACAGCCCCTTGCACCATACCAGAGCACTTACGAGTTCAAACATATTTTATCCTGAAACACACGTTTATGAAAATGTGTGTGTGTGTGTGTGTGTGTGTGTGAGAGAGAGAGAGAGAGAGAGAGAGAGAGAGAAGAAAAAATTGGACAATTTGGAGAAGTGCAAAACCTGAAGGATAATTATGTTCCGATCCATGTTTTCATCTGAGAGGTGTGAATTAGGGCCACATTACCACTATACAGTGGTACCTCGGGTTAAGTACTTAATTCGTTCCAGAGGTCCGTACTTAACCTGAAACTGTTCTTAACCTGAAGCACCACATTAGCTAATGGGGCCTCCTGGTGCTGCCGCGCCGCCAGAGCACGATTTTTGTTCTCATCCTGAAGCAAAGTTCTTAACCTGAAGCACTATTTCTGGGTTAGCGGAGTCTGTAACCTGAAGCGTATGTAACCTGAGGTACCACTGTACATTTAAAGCAGGATCATACCACTTTAAACAGAAAGAATCTGGGAAGTGCCATTCGTTAAGGGAGCTGAGGTTTATTAGGAAACCCCCTATTCCACTCACAAAAGTTATGATTCCCAGAGTTCCTTGGCAGGAGAGATTGGTGGTTAAACCACTCTGGGAATTGTAGTTCTTTGATGGGAATAGGGGTCTCCTAACATCTCTGAGCACCCTTCCCAAACTACAGCTCCCAGAATTCTTTGGGGAAGCCATGGCGGTTTAAAGTGGTACAACAGTAGGTGCCTAGCTCAGTTTCCTTAAATATGTGCACCCAGCACAATTCTCCTCCATCCTCGCATACGTATCGCTTCTGCCTGCGGCAAGGAGCAACGCAGTCTCGTTCAAAACAAAAATGCCTCTGCCACAAATTGACGTGCCGAACTTTTCACAATCTCCAGCTGATGCTCAGCACACCTCCTTCGACGCGCTTCTTCCTCCAGCGATTCTGCTGCCAGCTTCCTTGGCTGCTGTTCAAGTGCCCCTAGAAAGGCTCGTGCAGACAGCTACCCTGCTGAGGGCTCTGGCACATAAACTCTGGCGGTTCTGGGAAAAGGGAGGGCAGCGGTGGAAGCCTCCGGCAGAGCCCGGCTTGCTTTCTCCCCCAGCTACTGGGCCCTGGCAGTTCATATGGGCATCCTGTTGGCCAGCCAGAACGCCGGACAATCGGTGCAGCTGTTGAGAACTCTGGCAGGTGGGCAAAGCCAGGGAGATACCGTCCCTCTGAGCCGCTGGGCACTGGCAGCTCGGACAGAAATCCTGCTGTCTGCTTGGGAGGCAGAGTGGTAGCAGAGTAAATATGGAAGTTTTGGCACGTGGGCAGAGCTTTCGCCTCCCTTTCTTTAGCCACTGGCAAGCTGGTACCTCCTGCCTGTTATGCAATTTCCTCTGCTGTGTGGTCTCCTTCCCGCGTTGCAGAAGAGGGAAAAAGAAGAAGAAGGCCTCTTCTCTCTTTCCCCTTTACGCCTCCTCCCCGCCCCCCGCAATAACATAAACTCGCCCGGCACGTTTACGATTTCTGAGCAAAAAGGACATGGTTAGAATTCCCGTCTCCCTCCGTGCGCGGCGCATGGAATGCTTCTCTCCCCCCTGAAAAAATAAACCGGCTTCCTCCCCCGCCCAAAGCCGCCCACCTCCACCGAAAGGTGCAGCAGGGACGCTTTAAATGCCAAGCCGAGGCAAGCCGTTAATCATATCCCCTTAACAGGTTTATTTGCTCATTAAACATTTAAGACTTGTTTCGCTTTATCAATAGCGCGGAGGCGTGAAGGCCCTGGCGCAAAGATTTATGCCGGGCACAATAGGATTGGTTGGGTGTGTTCCCCCCCGCCACCCTCTTCTCTTCTCAAACTGCCGGCCTAAGAGAGATCATTTAGAATTTTCCTCTCCGGCCGAAACGGGAGAGATTTTGCCTTTCCCCGTCTTTTCAGCCCCCTCCGCGCCCGGCTACGGTTCCCTTCTCCCCTCTCCAGCGCATGAATTAAGGGCTGGTATCTTTCCAAGCCGGAGCAGAGGATTCAAAGCCCTCGTTTGCTCAAGCTTTCTGGCAGGGGGAGAGCATCTGCCAGCCCTCCTGTTTCCATCCAGCCTCTTGCCTTCCTGCAGGTGTTAAGAGCGCAAGGAAGCCTCTCCTGCCAATCGCAGCGCAGGCCGCAGGGTGGTGAAGGTCTCTCTCTCCGCGAGGCGGCCTCCCCTTTAACAGCCTGCCAAAGCCGACGGGGGCGGCAAGCCCCGGCATGCGGCGCTCCGCCGGGATCCCCTCCTCGGATGAAAAAAAGAATTAAAAGGAGAGTCTCGTGTCGGGACCTGCCATCAACCAAGCTCCAGCTTGGCATCCAACGGCTGCCGCAGCCTGCTCATCGTTTGGCTCTTGAGTGCCAGCGGAGCTTCAAGGTGGAAGCTTATTTCTCTAAAACAGAGGGCGAGGCGGGACGAAACAGCCCTGCGTGCTGGATCAGGCCCAAATAGTAATAATTTATTCATTTTATGCCGCCCAACACACATAAAAATAGAATGAAACCTCGAGCATTAAAAACCTCCCTAGACAGGGCTGCCTTCAGATGTCTTCTAAAAGTCAGTATTATTTATTTCCTTGACATCAGAAAGGAGGGTGTTCCACAAGGAGGGTGCCACCACCGAGAAGGCCCCTCTGCCTTGTTCCCTGTAATGATGGGGGTGGAGACGCTCCTTCAGGTAAACTGGGCCAAAGCCATGTTGTCATAAAGTAGGGAACGTCAAGTCTGGGGCCAGAGGTGGTCTGCCGGGCTGCTCTGTCTCGCCATCGGGTCTCTTCCCAGGACACTCCTCTCACCAGCCCAGGTCTTTCATTGTTTCCTCCACACTGGAGCAAGTCCTTGAACTCTGATGGTGACTCTTGCTTGCCTGGGTGGAAGACAGAGAGGGCTGTGTGAGTGTGTGTCGAAAGCAGGCTACTGTACGTTCATTTTGTCAGCATATTTTGTCCCTTGGCCTGGCCTGCATCGGCATGCGGACCTCAGAAGGTCGCTTACAAGAGAATGCGGCCCTGAGGCTGCAAAAGGTTCCTTGCTCCTGGTCTAGCCCAACACAATGGCCAAACCATACAACTCCAGGAAGCTCACAAGCAGGTCAGAAGGCAGTAGCCCTCTCCTGCTGTTTCAGCAACAACAACAACAGCAACAGCAATAACAACAGCTCGATTTCCATTGGCAACAGCCTTTGAACCTGGAGGCTCTACAGAGCCTATTATGGCTCTGGGCTGCAACACCGCTTACTGTAGATGGAGCTGTGTGAAGGAACTCTCCTCCAGTAAAATAAAAAAAACCCTGAGATACAGTAGGCCTCTGAACAAAGCTACTGCCGTCGAAGGCCAGGACTAGGACAAGGGAGATCCCAACCTAGGTAGAATTTGATCTGGAAATGGAGGGTCCAGTTTCTACCATGACTTTCGGAACCCGGAAGATTCCAACTCCGTTCCAAAAACTGCACATGAGCTGAGGCCTAGTGCGGCCTGCACATTGGTCTCCAGCACAGGCTAGGCCTGGCTTTTTGCAACTTACCAGGCCTGGCCAGGGACGTGGTTGATGGCAGCACTGATTCTGCATTTTTTTCAAGACGAGGCTGACAAGCCCTGGCCACACTGGGTGGGCTTTTCTGAAAGACCTGGTGCGGATTGCTGAAATCCATTGCGGAACCCGTAGCCCACTCTTCATAGAAGCATGCATGGTGCAGAGAAAGTGGATAGAGAAAGGCTTTTCTCCTTTCGTTACACTAGAATCCGTGGAGACCCTACGAAGCTGAATGCTGGGAGATTCAGGACAAACAAAATAACGTACTTCTTCACGCAGTGCATGGTTAAACTATGGAACTCCCTCCCACAGTAGGAAGTGATGGCCACCAACTTGGGTATCTCTGGAAGAGGACAGGATAAATAGGTAAAGGATATGGCTGTGATATGGATATGGCAGTGAGATATTTTACTTTCTTGGACTCCATGATCACTGAAGATGGTGACAGCAGTCACGAAATTAAAAGACGCCTGCTCCTTGGGAGAAAGGCAATGGCAAACCTAGACAGCATCTTAAAAAGCAGAGACATCACCTTGCCAACAAAGGTCCGTAGAGTTAAAGCCATGGTTTTCCCAGTAGTGATGTATGGAAGTGAGAGCTGGACCATCAAGAAGGCTGATCGCTGAAGAATAGATGCTTTTGAATTATGGTGCTGGAGGAGACTCTTGAGAGTCCCATGGACTGCAAGAAGATCAAACCTCTCCATTCTTAAGGAAATCAGCCCTGAGTGCTCACTGGAAGGACAGATCCTGAAGCTGAGGCTCCAATACTTTGGCCACCTCATGAGAAGAGAAGACTCCTTGGAAAAGACCCTGATGTTGGGAAAGATGGAGGGCACAAGGCGAAGGGGACGACAGAGGACAAGATGGTTGGACACTGTTCTCGAAGCTACAAACATGAGGGAGCTGTTCTCGAAGCTACCAAACTGCGGGAGGCAGTGGAAGACAGGAGTGCCTGGCGTGGTCTGGTCCATGGGGTCACGAAGAGTCGGACACGACTAAACGACTAAACAACAACATGGCTATGAATAGCTTCTAGGGCTATGCTTTGCCTCTATGGTCTGAGCCACTAATGTTTATGAATGCCAGTGGCTGGAAAACACAGTGTGTGGGGAGTGTTCTTGTGCTCAAATCCTGCTTCTGTGTTTCCTACAAGCATCTATCTGGTTGGTAGGATTGCTAGACCTTCAGGTCTGACCTGAAGTCTCCAGGTTTCCTGTCGCCTTCCAGGTGGCAGTTGTCGGGCTTGAATCTCCAGGTGCGTGAGAGTGCCTTTATTTTTAAAAAACGTTAAGAAGACTGTGCATGCGGGTTGCAGGTTTCAGCCCAGCAAAAACAGGCTGTGCATTACAGCATTGATACCCTGGGGGATTTCCCCTCCTTCAGTTGCCTCTCCCAATTAACTTCCGTCTCCAGGGCCTGTGCCCATGATATCGCACGGGACTGCTTCTACGTCTCAGGTTTGTGCCCTGAAATCTTAGGGTCTGGGATGCTCCTGAGCTGGCAACCCTGCTGGTTGGCCACCTTAGACGAGCTAAGGGCCTGATCCGGCAGGGTTCTTACTAGATCCTGCCAAGACCTTTTTGCCCTGAGCAGCCCGCAACTCTATAGTTTGCCTGCCTCTCGCCTTTGCAAGAGAATACAAAACAACAACAACAACAACCGGTTACCTAGCTCCCCGCCACTTTTTAGCAAAGCGACTCTGCCAAAGTGGCAGTGCGGAGTGCGGGCTGGGGGGGGGAGAGAGAGAGGCGGGGAGGAAGAGAAAGCAGTAATCTCTCTGCACCGGGAGAGCTGGCTGCTACCTCTGCGATCTCAGCCAATAATGACAAAGAAGCCCGGCTGGTGCCAGAGATAGAGAGAGCCGAGCCCCCCAAGCGCTACGGCAAAGTCACAGCTATGGGGTAAGCAATGCCGCGGGAGGGATACTGCCTTCCAAGAACCCGAGTAATAGCAACAAGGAGTCATTGATTGCCTTCGAAACCTCCTCTCCACCTCTCTCTCTTTGGCGTGCAATCTCTCTCTTCCTCTCTGTCTCTCTCTCTCCTGCTCCCAAGGCTGTATTTCATCTCCCCCCCCCGCCCACCCCTTTCCCTTCCTCCCTCTCTCCGCCTCTCCTCCGTCCTTCCCCCTTCGTTTGCCATTGAAACGGCTTACAATAAAGCCCCAGTGCCTGAAGGAACGTGTCTGCTCAGATGTTCTCGACAGCACAATAGGCAGAGACCTGCAAATGCTACAAGCTGCTAGCCGGCCTTTCAGAAAAGCAACCGAGGAAGGGGGAGCCTCACCCCTCCCTTAGCTGCTGGCTTTCCTGTTGCCCACCCCTGCTGCTCTCCTGGCTAATTGTAATTGCAGGCCTCTCCCCCCTCCCCAATTAAAAAAGAAAAAAGCAAGAGCAAATTGAAAGGAGCAAGCCGATGTAAGCCCATGAGCCCCTGCCGGGTCATGGTCAGTGTCCATCATTCTCCCAGGATGAAGGTGTGTGTGGGGGGGTGCCTCTCCTTAGGGCTGGCTTGGTCGTTCAGCTCTCCCAATTTTTAGAAATCCAGGTGTTGGTTCTTTAAAAAACACAAACACATATTGAGTGCAGTTTTACGTAGGTATGCAATACTCCATAGCGTCCCATGTTCATCTCATTTGCATTTTACAGATGTGATTTTGTGGGGGGGATAACTGGGTGCAGGCGAGAGAGGTAGTGTCCCAGCAGCAGGCTCTGCCCTGGCCTTCACAGGTTCCTTTCTGCATCTGAAACAGCCCTTAAGCATTTACAGAGTTGCAAGGTCAAGACTGCCGGCTGCACAGATAGGGCCCTGAAAACACACACACACACACACAGAGAGAGAGAGAGAGAGAGAGAGAGAGAGGCTGGTTTCCTATGTTGAAAACAAAAGCATAAGGAAGGGGGTGGGGTTCACATTAAAGGTGGAGCCTGCCTGGTTCGTAATTTCCGAAATGGTCACAAAGTGAAACATGGTGCGCTCCCCCGCTTCTGAAATTTGTACTTCTCCGAATTTTGCAGCGTCAAATTCTCCAGCTGAACGACAGGTATGAAATGGGTACAGGGTAAAATGTGCATTGAGATGCCCCACAGAGAGAAAAACGCATTGCACTGGGGGAAATTGCTAGGCAAAAAAAAAAAGGATTTCTGGGGAAATTCACACTAAAATGTTGATGAATTTTCATGGGGAAGATTAGCAAACTGATGCGAAGATTTGGAGAACTGGGCTAAAGACTGGGGGAGGGGGGATGAGAAAGCAAAATGGATAGATTTGCCCATTCCTAGTCGTGTGATTGACGTCAGTAAAGAGCTCATACTGCTGTGTTCTGTTTGTTATGGAAAGGTGAAGGATAGCATTCATCAACCCTCTTTAGAACTTCCTGGGAGTGCATTTGTTCCTGAGCCCCGCAGTCAACAACCACCGACTGCCCAAAGGTTTGTGCTCCATACTGTGAAACCTTGACTGTGTGGTCAACTTGACTTAAATAACTGGACACTTGTTAAGTAGAATATTCAGCTTCCTCCACCCTCCCTGCTATGCTGGCGGCCTGAAGAGCAAAGTGGCCACCCCGGCCATGGTTTGCCCATCCTGACCGATGAAACAGCGGCCATTTTGATTTCCAATTTCCAAGGGCACTGGTGCAACTGTCTCAAACTCTTCTTGCACAGCGTCTCTGCATCTAAGCGAAGCTAATTCCTGGAGGAATGTGGCACGCTGTTTTCGTGGAGAGAGCTTAGCGCGCAGATGCACGCACGTAAACTTCGCGATACGGCTGAGTTTGACAACGCAGGAAGTTCTTTGTCAGAGGTGCCATTGGTTTCACCTTTCTGTGCCGTGCCCTCTGAGTTTAGTATGTCGAAAGGGACACAGAAGCCCATGATATTCTGCGAGTTGCCCATATTCCTTGAATATTAGGAAAATCTAGGGAGCCCAAGCCTCATGTGCAGATGGAGAAAGGCAAAGGTGGCGTTTTCTGCTCTGGAGAGGCTGCCGAATTGTCTGTTTGACCTCATCAGGAGGTTTGGGGGGCCAGATCCTTTGCCTTGCCGCCTTGCATGTACATCTCTCTCTTTCTCTCTCTCTCTCTCTCTCTCTCTCTCTCTCTCTCCTACGGGGGTTTCCCCCCGCATCAAAGCTTCTTTCCAGTTCTTATGCTAATGAGGTGCATTAATGCTTAATGACTGTGAACAGGGTTGGTTAATTGCACCTATCTGTGCAGGAGGCACGTTGACGTGTAAGAGGGAACGGCCGGGCGAAGCAGCTGCGTGCCCTCCTGGACAGTCTTAATTACACGGGAAACTAATGTGATCTAAACTGTCAGGACGGCGATTAGCTGAATGAGGCAGGTGGCGTACCGGGCTGAAGAATCGGGAGCACGGGGGGGGCAGCGGGGGAGGGGAGAAGGAGGTGAAGCCAGATTCCCGAGCTCGCCAGCCAAGAGGAGAAAGTGGCAAGCTCCACTCATCCACAGCTTTCTCGTCGGGTGGGGACAGGCGCAGCACAGCAGATTAATTTAATTAATTTATTGCAGTTAGTTTGGCAAAGGCATTATCCGCCGTCTGGAGCGGAATACTGAACAGCCCCATTAATGCGCCGCCAGTAAATCCTTTGCGGGAAGAAGGAGCGAGACACAAGGCTCTCCCCCACTTTTGCGGTGTTATCTCTTCAGCGCCGTTTGAAAACGCGGCTGATTGTCTGAGCTACAAAGGGCTCTTTCGCCTGCCCCCCCCCACTTTCCCTGCCTGCCTCCCCTCTGTTGTGCTAATGCAAAACCATCCCGGCTTGGCATTCATCTGTCATTAATGCCTCTACATGCGCTGCCCCAAGTTGCAAAACGGGAACGTGCGACAGAGGCTGCCCCCCGTTCAGCCGGCAAAAAGCCAGCTCTGCAACCGGGAGACCCTCCGAGAGCAAGGCTGTTAAGTAGGGGGATGCAACGCGCAGGTATGGTGCTACCTGTCATCGCTTGCCATCTGCCGCTAATTAATGACGCTCGATAGCTTGCGGTTATTTGTTTGGCTTTGATGCACCGGAAAGGGAAGGTGGCTCTCTTGTCACTTAAAAAAAAAAGAAAAGTTTTTGAGAAGCACGCACCTTTTGTGGAAGGAATGAAGGGGTACCTTCAACCAGCTACTCCTGGGTCATCAGGTGATGTCTGGGC